GAAGGCAGACGCTTAACCATCTGAGCCACCCAGGTGCCCCCCAAACTGACCATTTTTTATAATTCCTATGCATTCACTGCAATTCTACCCCTTCGAACACAAACAAAAAGAAAACTCATGGCCATGCAGAGCGTTGCATGTATAATGATATGCCAGGAACCATAAGAGTGATTTGATGAAAGTACAACAGAGAAAGCTGCAGAAGGGAGGGAGCTTTGGACCTGGACTTTCAGGAGGCTTTGGACGAAAGAGTGGGGGAGGAAATGAGATGGAACTTTTCCAGGGACTGATTTCCACCTCTTTGGACTTACTTGAGGATGGAAGAATAACAAAAAGGCCCATCAGATAATTTTTTGGAGGTGTTTGAAAACTGTCAATTGAAAATACTTATTCCAGCAACCACAGAGCAGCTCATTAGAGGCCCTTCATAGATGACATTAGAGACATGCCATTTATCTTGTGCAACATTGATGGTGAAAGCAGCAAAAATACAGAAAAGTTCAGCAAAACCTTCTAAAGAATGATACTGTTGCCAGAGGGAGGAGATTTTTTCCATTTCTGTAAGCCAAGGGGCAAGGCCAGAGCAGTTGCGACAATGGCTGGTCTATGATGAAAATTTTAAAAGCACAAATAACTACTTAAGAAGAGAAAAGCCACAAACACAAAATCTAGTTTCCATTATTTTTATAACTTCTAGTTGAAGGGTTTTTCAAGTAGGTCCCTATTGAGTGACTGTCATTGCAGCCAGAATTGAGTTATTTTGAATTAATAAAGCTGAAATTGTGAAAGGACTTGATTAGGTGTTGGTCAGACATTGTACCCAAACTTGCTGAGGGGTGTGGGTTGGTAGGGATCCCATTGGGAAGCGAATCAACCCTTTATTATTTGTCCTCTGGGCAAAACACAATGATTCCGATTTGGAAATTAAATTCAATGGGAGGAAGGGTCACTTGCCTGAAGGAGTAAGACCATATTGCCCATGCAATTATGAGAAGTTAACCTTAAGGATTCTTTGAGTATCCTACAACTGCATTTCAAATTTTTAATTTTTATTTTGAGTCTGAGTCTCTGCACAGAAGAAGAGACTTTTAATAGGTGATTGAGTATGCAAATGAAAGTGATGGATTTGGGAGAAATCAGCACAGAGGTGTACAGGGAGGCCAGAGCATATATCAGGTCAACCGGGAACACGTGTGTGGTGGGAAGAGGAAGGAGGAAAACCCTGAGGTTGTTGTGTCATGGATGCCGAGGGCAGAGAGTATCCTAGAAGGTGACCGTGATCAACAAGGTGCAAGGCTCCTAGGGGATCAAGAGGAATCTCAGGGTTAAGAAGTGTCCCTTGGAGATCAGTGTGACTCTGGGCAGACGAGTGTTTGAAGGGTAGTAGGAGCAGGAGTGAGACCACAGTGTGAGGAAGCACAAAGGGCTGAGAGTGAGTGTAGATGGAAGTTTAAGTCCATGAATTCGCCGAGTTCTCCCGAGGGAATAGCATGAAGTCAGAGCTTCTTTCCTCCAGTCCTCGTCCTGCATTTCCCTAGCTGGTCCTCATGAGGCAAGCTCTCAGGGGAGAGAGTGCTCTCTGCATGATCTATTGTATGTCATTGTTTCTTAAAATGTGGCCCAGGTTTGGATTCAACACTCCAATGAAGCCAACTAGGGCCAAGTATGCTGGAACTATATCATCTGGCTCAGATACTTCTGGTATCATAGGCTGAGGTTATATGGGCTTATTGTTAGTCAAATCATAATGTTGGACTATATTAATACTTGTATTCTCCAGGTCACATTTATAGGAACTGTAATGGCTTCATAGCCATACATAGGAAATTATTCCTAGTAAGTTATATTTGACTGTTTTGCCTGAGAATTCAAACACATCACTAAGCCCCGATTCTTTGGTCTGTAGAACATTATTTATTTTCATATAGACTTACTGGCATTGGCCTACTACTTCTTCAAAAATAATTGATAAAAATATCAGACAAGGTGGTACCTGTTTTAATACTCCAAAATGGTATGTTTCTTTGGTTAAAATGGTCTTTTTTTTTTTCTTTAAGATTGATTTATTTATTTTAGAGAGAGAGTGTTTTAAGCAAGGGGAGGGGCAGAGGGAGAAGGAGAGAGAAAATCCTTAGGCAGATTCCCCGCTGAGCGTGGAGCCTGACACAGGGCTCCATCCCAGGACCCTGAGATCATGACTTGAGCCAAAATCAAGTCAGACGGCCAACTGACTAAGCCACCCAGCTACCCCTAAAATGATCTATTATTGAAGACTTCGGGGATAGCACTATTCAAACATCTTGGCAATAATAATAGCTGATCTTTATTTATTTATTTATTTTTAATTTTTTTTTAAAGATTTTTTTTTATTTATTTATTTGAGACAGAGAGAACGAGAGAGAGAGAGAGAGCACGCACGCGCGCACAAGCAGGGCGGGGTGGGCAGGGCAGAGGGAGAGAGAAAATCCCAAGCAGGCTCCATGCTTAGCGCAGAGCAGAAGCAGGGCTCCATCTCACGACCCTGAGATCATGACGTGAGCTGAAATCAAGAGTTGGTCGCCCAACCACCTGAGCCACCCAGGCACCCCTAGAATCAAATACTTTCTAATGTTAGTTTCAAAATGGCCATTTAAAGAAAACAAGGCTTCCTTGAATTTATGTTATTTTATTGAATTTATGTTATGTTAACATTAACATTTTGAATTAACATAAATTCAAAACCACCACTTGTGGTTTTGAAAGTACAGTTCCTTGCCCACTATACCTAAATTTATCCATATTTCGACACAGTTACCTAAAAATAGAATTGAAAGTCACAAGATCATAAACTGAACACACAAAATCCCTTTGAATTAGTTGAAAGCCTATTAATGTTTGACCTTGACTATGTGTGAATTTGCTAATATTCACATTCACTTACATTTGAGGGTTAGTCTGAATTCTAGATAGTTTTGAATACTGAGTTTTAATGATAGAATGCTTCATTCTTCAGAAGTTCATCATAGTGTATGAAAAGCTCTCCCATTCTCTCAGGGATATATCTTTTTGGTTGAATATTTCTCTAATTTTATTATTGCTGCGCTAATTTGTTTCTTGGTTATAGTCAAATTGCTTAATAAGGATTCTTCCCTTTTATTCTTGTGATTATTTTATTTTTCTCTCATAATTTCAGAACACTGAAGGAGTAACTTAGTGCACATGGGATATAGGGTCTTAAAGGCAAAAATCAGAGCTAACCAGTGAGATTTTCTGTAAAATTTGCCATATGAAATTGGAGGTTTGCCGATGGAAGAATTTCTGAGCACCAAGAGCAGCCCATATGGTTTAATGGAATATATTTTCCTCTGCCCTGACTTGTAGCCATTGTGGCAAATGCTGCCCCTCTGCCTTATAGCTGTAGCTTCTCACAGGCTTTTAAGACCACAGAATTATCCTTTAGAATTCCTTTGTGGACAAAAAGGTGACCTAAAGAGAAATAGTTTGAGTATTCCCCCACTCCAGCAAAGGAAGACTCTGGAGAGCTACAAAGGTATACTTTTCCATACCAAAGATTGTATATATATATGATGTTCTAGTCATGGTCAGGAAGAGTATAGTAGTAGAAATGCATCTATGAACCACATTTTTCAGAGACCATTTTTTTCAATATAATGTTTATTTTGTCATTCTCTTTTATCACACACCGTACAGACAATATGGACAAGGCTTGAGAAAAGGCATATGTATGCCTTGTTCAAGTCCTTAGTTTGGGTTGAATTTGGCATTAACTCCCGGGACTAGCCACACCTTGAGGTACCTAGTATAGTTTTGTTGCAAACTCAGCTGAGGGAAATGCCACCAGTGGATGGAAGACTTTCTTCAAAATTTAAGATTGTCATTTCTTCTTCAAATCCTTTACATTCCCTCCATTCATTTGGTACTTCCTGATGACTAACTAGAGGAATAACGGAGCCTTTATTGTGAATTTCATGCTGACTTTTGAATGTTTAACAAAGCCATGCTGTTATTCCTTTTTAGCATTCACATAGAACTTCGTGTTTTTAAACTGTTGAATTTAAAGGTCAGGATTTCTGTTCCTTCCAAACGTTAAAGTTAGAAAAACAGAAGCATAGAATATTTAATGTACTTTTGTAAACAAATCAGATTGGTCTCTGAGTAGTGCTGAGTGATTCTGCTCTCTACCAATTCAGAGGAATTTGATGCCTAATAGGCAATTTTCATGACACTTTAAAGTTTATGAGTTCACTTAAGTATTATTTTACATTTGGTCTATATGGAGACCCTTTCACTATGAAAATGTACTATGTACATATATATATACATACACAGATATACTATATATATATGTATGTACATACATAATACATACAAATATATAATATATAAAATATGTATATATTTTAATCTAGATGTTTTCTTAAAGGAAAATCTCACCCATCTTGGAGCAACTATGAAATATATGATAGTGGTTCTCAATAATCCTGGTTATTTTTTTCAGCATGTAGGAACGTGGTGATTGTGAACCGAACCTATGGCATCTTAGAGAGTATACATTACCCAGGACCCTATTCTGACAATCAGCGTTGCAACTGGACCATCCAGGCCTCTATTGGCAACACAGTGAATTACACATTTTTAGCATTTGAATTGGAAAATCACATAAACTGCTCCACAGACTATTTAGAGGTATGTATTCTGAAGCTAAATAAATCACTGCATTTTCAGATCAAGTTAGGCAAGCCAAACTAGAAATCATCCTTGCTCTGTAGAACTGAATCTCTGTGGTTCTGTGCATCTATAATATGACCGCTACTCATGGTATTTGAACAGGTATATTTCGTGTCTCTTTCACTGCATCATATTAATCCACTAAATTATATACACAAAGAATTGTCTATGTTTTTAGGTTTCAGTATGACTTTTGGACTGATTGACCTCATATTATTTAAATAATCCAGGAGTAAAGGAATAACTTCTGTTTTTTGTTACTTGTTTTTATGTTTGTTCTCTATAAACAGGATATCAAAAAATGTTTAGGTACCTGGCTATATTTAATACCTAATTTGCCTGATACTAGAAATCATGATTTTGAGTCTTGTTTTTATTTTTAAATTTAAGTTCATTTCAGTAAAACGGAAATTTCTATTTGTTCTGATAATGACCACCTGTAGCATTTATTCAACTCTCTTTATACAATGCTATTCAATGAAAATTGCTTGAGAACTAGGTAGCCCAAAATATTAAGTAATCTCCTATTTTTACAATAAGATACCTTACTCCTAAAAGCTTTATTGCTAACTTCCATGGTATGACTTTTTAGGGCTATAGATTGAAAAGTTAGGCAACTACTTATTTTGCTTACTTTATGAATGTAATTATGCATTCAAATATAAAATTAAATGGCTTATAAGCTATTACATTAATTTAGAAATTATGATTTCCACTTTCACCCTCCATAAGACAATTTTACTGAAAGCACTTAAAATATTTTGACATCAAGTTCTCATCATTAATAAAATCACTTTTTAAGTCCATCTAACATACCGTTCCTGTATTTTTTTACATTGTTCATATATAATACTTCTGAATCCACATAGGATGTTTTCACTAAAAATCTTTTCTGAAGTGACAAGTACCCCCTCTGTAGCATTAGGACATCTCCCCCAGCCCATGCCACCTATCTACAACACAGTGACTTAGTGGGTTTCTTCTTAAGGTGATCAGTGATTTTTAGAAGTCTTGCTTACAAAGACTTCCAACATCCAGCACTTGTAACTTTAAGGACAAATTCTTCAGAAAAAAATCCTTTATCCTTGTAAAATTTTCTTAACCTTTTTACCAATTCTTTAAAAAACTGAACATTGATTGAGGCTGTTTGAGGTTAACCTATGTTTTCCAAATAGCCCTTTTGTTTTTTAAAATGAAGAGAAACTTCCTGTACTTTGAGAGACTTGGGAGGTCCTGAATATATGGAGTTTCTTGTTTCTGAGGGATAATTTTTTTGGGTGAAATCTTGCTTTGTATTTAGAAAAGTTCAATATTATAGAAATAGTAGCCATAGGGTTTATCCATTAGAAAGTGATATTTACTAGTATTCAAAGGAAATATGACACAACATCAAACAAACTTACAAGCATGAACTTGACAATGGTTTTAAAGTCCATTTTTCTTGATCTAGTGTTGAGATGGTCTTCACAAGCTTCATACTGGCATGCTTGTCTCATTGAATTTACCTGGAGTAGACATCCTTTTCTTTTCTTCACATGATATGATCTTGTTCATTCTTTAGAGGAAATGGAAGAGTTGATTTCAAAACCCCTTGTTCATAGCACAAACACAGCAATTTATCTTATTGCATTTTTGCCAGTTGTGATGGTGCCCACATGCCCTACTGGACTGTGAGCCTTTTGAAGGTGTGAGTTGTCTCCTGAATTTGTGACCCAGGCATTGATTATAGAGTTGGGATCTTACAGGAATTCAGTGAGTTCAGGATAAATTGACTCTCACAGCCATATTTGTAGCATCAGCCTAATGATAGATGTTAATTAATGAGAAAGAACTGAATTCCAAACTGACCATTTTTTTTTTTATTTATTTATTCATGAAAGTCAGAGAGAGAGGCAGAGGCAGAGGCAGAGGGAGAGAAGCAGGCTCCCCGCCTAGCAGGGAGCCCGATGCGGGACTCGATCCCAGGACCCTGGGATCATGACCTGAGC